CATGTGTCGGAAGAATGTTCTAACCAACTGCATCCAATAGCGGGATGAGATCCCACATGTTGTATTCAATACGTGCTTTGAGCTCACGGTCCATGACTTCGCCATTTCTCGCGATAGGGTCCCTTCAGTTATTGGTCGACAATTCTAGGTTCGATAGGAGTTGCAGCACGCTGTATAGCAACAACAATACCCAATATCTTTAAGCCATTAGATTTGTAATGACTCTATATCTCATCATCAGGAGAAGCGGCTTCATCACCCGATTCAGGATTGGGTGCGAAACTTGGGGCTGACACGTTTGTTTTCGTTGGAGTTGACAGTGTGTGATGTGATAGTTCCGTTGTCACCGAAATTATAGTGTGCTTCAGCGTTGACATCGTTGTGAGGATCTTCTTCATAGATGGGTATTGGAACTGAACAGTAGGGGTGGCACTAGCAGCTACAGACCCACTTGAGAAGCTCCTTCCAATGCATCTGCTTCATCGGCTGCTGTTGCAAAGGTTCGATCTCCTTGAGATCCACTTGTCGGAACCTCCAAGTTGGCAACATTCCACTGCCAGTTGGTGAAGGTGGGCCACTCGTAGAACAAGACATCACATGCCGACTGCTTTATCGTTAACATCCCATTTGTTCTTGCTGCAAATGTTTTTTAAGCTGATGTGAATTTACCACCATAATCTGTTGTGAAAATCTTCCAGCAGGTGTGTTCGGAGGTTTGTAATATACCATGCACCTGTAAGACTTGTAACATTGTTTTTGCTATCCATCTTCCCTGTCCACTCCATGAAAGGTGAGGCGTAATTTGGTAGCGACTGCGAAGACAGGGAATCATGCAACAGTATAGCGTGGTCCATTGTATGCGGCCTCTGGTTAGCTGGCAGATGAGCTTGTTGAAGCAGCTTGCACATTGTGTCTGTAGAATCCTGTTCGTCCTTTCTGCTACACCCTACAGTTGGTGCTGGTAGGGGAGCGAACGAAGACGCTTGATGGGGTGTTCAGCAAGGTAACCCTTGAAACGCTTTGACTGGTAGTCAAGAGCTCCGTCATAATGGAAGCTCATTGTAGATGGACACTTGTTCAGGTATCTGGAACCAAGGGACAAAAGCGTCGGAGGCAAGATTCAGCGACAAGATATTGAGGTGCCAAACATATCGTGTTACGGAGTCGATAAATGTGATGATGTAGTTTAAATATGGGAACCCTTCCTGCTATGGGATGAATAAAATATCAATGTAACTTTTTCGAGTGGCGTGTATGCGGGTTTGCTGCGGTTATGGTGCGATGAAACATATGTTGTGGAAGATTTGCTTTAGGACAGATGGTGCGACATGACGGGGGCGTCGAACTTCTTGTCCACCGAAAAGTAGTCAAGCCCCTTTGTCAAGGGCATCCGCTCGAATTTGTTTATACGTATTTGTTTTAATACGATGGTAGAGCCAACTATGCCATATGTCTTCTAATGATGCGTGTCCCGACCTCCGCGTGTACAAGTCAGAGTTGACATAAAAGGCGTTGAAGGATGCGTCAAAGTGCATTCATGTTTCTATTTGTACATTTTAATAGGCTAGGTTGGTTAGACTAGGGTTTGCTATTCGTGCCCCTCCATACTCTCATTCTAGGCGATTTCTTCATTTCTGACATGATATCATGAGTAGGTTAGGTCGTAGCCTCCGCTTCACCTACCCTAGCCCGCCCCTCGTGTTAGTTAGAGCTCCTCGTCGAGCATCCCGCCCTAGGCCCGTCGCGCCCCACCCTAAGCCCGTCGCGCCCCACTTAGCTCACCGTCATGCCCCTGCTGTTAGCCGCTCGTCACGCCCTTCTTAGCCACCCATCGTGCCCCTACCGCTAGCCGCTTGTCATGCCCTGGTTAGCTGCCCATCGCGCCCCTGCTGTCCGTCGTGCCCCAACCGCCCACCGTGCCTCTACCGCCCGTCGCGCCCTGCCCTGCGCCGCCCGCACCGCGAGCACTAGCGCATGCGCCACAACCAGCGCCACCGTCGCCCCCATTGCACGCACTGCCTGCGCCACATGTGCCAGCGCCAGCCGTGCAGCCCGCGCCAGCCTCGCTGCCCCGCCGTGCCGGCCGCCCACTGCAGCCCACTGCCGCTGTAAATGCGCTCGCTGCTGCCGCCGCGGCGGCTGTTGCTCCTGCAGCCATTGCAGCTCGCAGTTGCCGCCGCCACTGCCTCAGCTGCTTGCGCTACTCCCGCAGTCGCTGCCACGCGTGCCGTCGCCACTGCCATAACTGCACGAGCCGCCCTCGCCACCTGGGCCGCGCGAGCCGCCCCTTGCACGGCCTCTCACGTTGCCGTGCCTACCTCTGCTTCTAGAGTTTCCGTAGCCCGCCATTTCCTCCTACTGTGGCCGCTTCCCTCATTTCCTCGTGCTATGGCGACTGAGTCCCTCCTTCACTTCGATGCAGAAGGTCGTGCCGTGGATTTTCAATCGAGGCTGGTCGAGGTTCATCTCTCCCTGCAGAGTCACTTTCACCAGGACGTCTCGCTCTACGAGCATGCTACTGGTGACCTCCCAGCCCCACTGTATCCTAATGCTCCACTTACTAATGCTACTTCTGATAAGCAGAACGAGTCTAGCACGTGAACGGGGGGGTGACGCTGCTGCACGACTCTCTATCATCTGCCACCTGCCGCAGACTGAGCGGGAGTACTTGAGTCAGGTGAAGATGGCAAAGGAGTTGTTGGATGTTGTTATGGTCGAAGGCCCCGGCCTCGCTTGGGCACAGCCAATCTCGCCGTCGACGAGGAGCACTCGACGAAGTGGACGTCGAGTGTGCTTTCACTGGTCGACGGAGATGGTGGTCGCGCAGACCCTTCTCGACGGGATTCGGTCGACGTCGTGCCCGACGACGAGCGTTGGTCGACGAGTCCGTCGAATAGCACTCGTCAACGAGCTCTGTTCGACGAGCTTGCCTCGGCAAAGTTACTCGACAAAGCAGCGTTGAGTTGGTTGACAGAAGCAGCTCGACAGCGAAATTTGGGAGGTACGCGAATTTCGCCCCATGAGGTTTTGGCGAAGCTGACCTGCGCGATGGCATCACGTGCTCGACGGTGGACATCTGTCAAAACCGTTGACACGTATTCTACCTGGCATTTGCGCAATGTGCCTGGCGGTGCAACCGTCGACCTGCACCTACTTGGTAGGTGCACACATGAGCATGTTCACATTGGACCGCAGTGCTGGCAGACCGCTTTGGGTGCAATGCTGGCAGGCCGCCCTGCTGCAGCAATGGCAAGCCGCTCTTCTTTGCGTTGGCAGGTTACTCAAAAAGGGTGGCTAGTTGTTGCAATGCCTTCCTAGTGATATCGACTTGCATGCCTTAATGTAATCCAATGTTCAATCTATTTTGCTAGTGAAACTCTTGCCGATTTTCCCCATGAACACGCAAGTAGAGAGAACCCGAGCAAAGCTACGAACACTAAGACAACACCCGTTGTAGAGTGACTCTCCGTAGTTATCGCTCTTCTACTCCTACGTTAGGCCGCTACATCCTGCGCTTCCTCTTTCCTGACCTCCCTTCGTTCCGCACTGTGGCTGATCTGGTTACGCAGCTGCACTCGCTAGACACTACCTTCTGCCCTGCTTGCACTCCTGAGCAGCTTATTGAGCCCCCCCCCCCCCCCCCCCTCCCCCCCCCCCCATATATATGACCATGCACCTCATAGCGACCCGCCTCCCTGACCGCTCCTTAGCGGATTTAGGCCAAGGGGCCTAACACACCCCTTCCAATGCACCAACACGGCTGAAACAGTCCCTCACCACAGAAAGGACGGCGGGGGAGCGAGTGACCACTGGAGCAGTGCAGGCAGGAGTTTGGGGCCTGTCCGTCAGGTCTCCGATTTTCTCGAGTTGTGTTTCCCTGCTGCAAGCCCACAAGGCTGGCAAGGACGCATTCTTTTGCTCTGGGCACCTTCGCGAGCATCGCGAAATCGGAGTGAGCGCTGTGGGGCACGATTTTACTCGCCACTGGAATAGCGACAAGCCGTTACCAGATAGATTTCGTGTTACCCCGACTGGATCACGACGATGTGCAGCGTGGGGATGTGGGCGCCACCCCATCAGATCAGATCGGGGAAAAGTCAGTGTCTCTCAAGACACGCCTTGATTTTACCGCGTTCCACTCATGCCGGAGGTCTTCTTCTCCGCTCGAGACCCTACTCAAACGTAAGAACGTGTATACAAACCGTTTTCACACGCAGAGCATCGCATCCCACCGTACAAGACACTCCCTAAGGCTTGACAGCTACTGTTGGGTCCACTTCACCCCACCAGCTCAAGGCGGCTCTTCCTCACACACACAAAACGCTTGTGTGAGACGTGAGATTGCATCGTCTCGTGTTGCTTTACAACACTTCCCGCAAGCGTCACGCCACGCGAACGCGTTATCATCTCAGACCTCCCCGTCACGTGCTAATCTCGCATGGTCGTCGCACCCCGTGCTTCCACATTGTCGAGCTGCTTCGTCTAGCCGCCTCTGCCGCGACTACCGCGCTACCAGGTGCCTCTCAGAGTTCTCGCGAAGACGATGTGTTGGTCGCACTGGCAGCGTCGGCGTGGAACCCGGTTCAGCCATTCAATAAAAGCCTTGAGCGACGACGCTTACTCGGTATCGACCGTGCTATTTTTCTCGAGCCCCACCTGTCTATCCGTTTCTGCCCTCCTTCCTCGCTCGTCGCTCGTCGCCCTGCCTTCGTGCTTGGGGCTGTCTCACTCTAAAAACGCGTCCGCGAATTTCCCAACCGGCTGCCGATAGTCCTTTGTTCATAGACTCCGTTATTAGCCTTCCGCTATTCACCCTCCCTTTCCGCCATTGGCTTCAGTCTTTAACCTGCCTAACTTTAACTGCTAACGTCCGCCAGTGGCGTTCCCCGCACGGCATCCCACTGACTCTCCGCGCATGACTCTCCGCGAATGACACTCCGCGCATGACCCTCCGCGTGTGACATCCGCGCATGACTGCCCGCGCGTGACCCGTGCTGTGGATGTCATCGTCGGGTCGCAGCAGCAGCAGCAGCAACACCGTCTTCTCCTCCGACCGCAGCGTCGCCAGCAGCGTCGCCAGTTGCTCCTCCGCGCGCGCCCTCCCCTCGTTCCCCCGACAAGCCGCCGTTGATTCCGCCGCCCCTGATTCTGCCGCCCCTGATTCTGCCGCGCCTGATAACACCGCGCCTGATACTGTCATTCCTGATACCACCGTCCCTGGTTCCGCCCCGGCCATCCCCCCGTGGGACATCCGTGCGTCCCCCGCCGCGGGTAGCGCGGGCGTGCAGCAGGCGAGCGGCGACGTGTTCATCCCGTGGCCCGCCCACGTGCGCGCCGCCCTCGCTTCTCCGCAGCAGCAGCAGCAGCAGCAGCAGCAGCAATACACCTTGTTCTTGCAGCAGCAACAGCAGGGCCTTCAGGGAGGGGTGCAGCTAGAGCAGCAGCCGGATTTCTCTCTGTTTCACCAGCAGCAGCAGCAGCAGCAGCAGCTGTTTGCGTTCCAGCAGCAGCAGGGCGTGCGGCGCACAGGGGACTGCGTGGGGACGTGCCTGACATCCCTGGAGGTGCTGCTGAATCCCTTCTGCGCGCGCGCCACGCACCACCTGCCCCTCCACTCGCCCGCGTTCTCCATGGTAGGCTACGAGGGTCTGTCTGCCAGGGATGGACCCACACGAGTGCCACATGTGACTTCCTCGCTGCCTTTCCCCTGCTGACGTCACAGCCCAGCGTCACACGGGTGTGTCGTCCCCCACGCTGCTGAGCCACTGCTTTCGCACTCGCACACACTCTTCTCAACCCTCCTTTTCCTCATCGCGTCCTCCCTTCCTACTCTCTTCCCTCCTCCTCCCTCTTCCCTTCTCCCCTCTTTCCATCGCTCTCATCCATGCATGTTTCCCTTCTCTCCTCGCCCCCCCTGCCCCCTCACCAGGCGTCCAATTCTTCCGCGCCCACCTCCAACGGCCCCTCCCCGCTCGCCCCCTGGCACCACCCGCAGCAGCAGGCGCAGCAGCCGTACCACCCGCAGCAGCAGGCCTTTCCGCCCCCCCACGGCCTCATGCCGCCGCCCCAGCCACGCCCATCGCAGCAACAAAACCACGTCTCTTTCCAGCTGCCTTCGCAGCAGCAGCAGCAGCAGCAGCATTCACAGCAGCAGGGGGGAGGCGACATGGGAATGGGCATGGACATGGATCTGAGCATTCAGCTGCCCGCACGGCGCTGGCCGCCCACCCTCGCCGCCGTCACGCCTGGCAGAAGTCTCACCGCCTCTGTGCTTGGCCGCGGCCCCACCCGTAAGCCCACCGCCCCACCCGTAAGCCCACCGCCCCACCCGGTCGCCCCTCCCCCCCGCCCCTATTTGGCCCACCTGTAAACTCACCCCCCCCACCCCCTCGACCCGCCTGTGGCCCTGTGCTCACTGCCACTGCCATCACCACCGCTGCTCCACTCCTCTCCCTTCCACTCCCGCCCCCTTCATTCTCTCTGCCCTCCCCTCTCTCCTCCATGCTTCCCCTTGCGCCCCACCTCTCCTTGCCCCTCTCTCCTCTGCCCTCCCTTCCCTCCCACCCCACCCTCCGCCCGGCCACCCGTCCCCCAGCCAACATCCGCACGCTGTTCAACATAGAGCGCAAGGCGCTGGGCGAGGGGCAGTACGGCAAGGTGTATGTGTGCACGGAGAAGGCCACCGGCGCGCGGTACGCCTGCAAGACCATCGCCCGCAGCTCCCTCATCTCCGTGGAAGATGTGGAGGACGTGCGCATGGAGGTGAGGCCGTGCGCATGGAGGTGAGTAGACGTGCGCATGGAGGTGAGTAGACGTGCGCATGGAGGTGAGTATCCATGGGCAACGGACGAGTCCAGTTTTACTCCACTCGTTTTTGCGAGTGTTGCTTACTGGTCGGGTGGAGTGGAGGAAAACTCGTTGAGAATGACTCCCTCGATGGGGCCATTCTCCCCCTTCACCCAGCCTGCCCTCAGCTCCCTCGTCTAGGCTAACACCATGCGGAGTCCAAGCAACCTATCCAACACAGCCGGGTACCTGCCACCCAGAAACATGGGCATGGGGCCAGCTTGCCAGGGCTTACCAGCAGTGCTGAAATAATTCTCCTCTCCCCAGTCTCTCTTGAGCATACCCCACCCGCCCACCCAACCCCCTTTTGAGTTCTCTGTGAACCCGTGATACGGTATACAAACCAGCAGATTACATGCTCGAGCTGAGACCACTTCCTGTAACGAATCCATCCCAAGTTTAGCAGTTGGGACCAACAGCCTTAGTGGTTTAGTGTTTTCCTATGCTATGCATGCAAGTGGGTAGTAAAACGAAGGACCAGTTCTGGGGGCCTGGCGAGCGTTTGGGTTGTTGATTGAAGAGGAATACGCGCCACTGTCACGTGCATCCTCCAATGAAGGCAAGAGCAATCACCACTTCCAAAGGACACATAGCAGTGAAACAAGCTCTCATCTCGTCACAGCTCCCCATCCAACCCCATGGCAGGTGAGCGTGCTGTTCCGGCTGCAGGGGCAGCCGAACGTGGTGCGCGTGCACAGCACGTACGAGGACCGGCGGGACATCCACATCGTCATGGAGCTGTGCAGCGGGGGCGAGCTCTTCGATGAGATCAACCGCCGCTGCGATGAGATGACCGTGCCCTACAGGTGAGGGCAGGGGTGGGATGGGATGAGATGGAAGGATGGGCAAGGGGGTGGATGGGAGAAATATATGGGTGGAGTGTGATGCATCTGCAGGGGAGGGTGTCGCTTTGGTGAGGGGAGGACTGTGGGGAAGCATGGATGGGTGCCCTGTTAGCAAGGGGAGTGGTGTCGGGATGGAAATGAGTAATGGGTGAAATCGCATTAGCATTAGCATCACGAAATCGCATCCAGCTTTCGCACATATCAGCCTTGCATGTACCTGCCATGCACTCAGCATCTCCTTTCCACCACTTTTGCCTTTGCCCCTTGCCGTCACCGCGCCCATGCCACCACCGTCCTCCTACCGTGTACATGCCTCACCGCTCTCTCCCTGCCACCACATCCATCCATCCCCCTCACCCCCCACCGCTCGCCATGTGCACGAGTGGCAGTGAGCGCGACGCTGCGAAGCTGTGCAAGGCGGTGGTGCGGGCGGTGCATTCGTGCCACAGCAGCGGGGTGATCCACCGCGACCTCAAGCCCGAAAACTTCCTCTTCTCCTCGCCCGGCACTGATGCCGTGCTCAAAGCCGCTGACTTCGGCATGGCTGCCTACTTCAAACCTGGTGAGTGAGGGACACGTGATAGGCGCACTTCATTTTGTGAGAACAAGAATTGAAGGCAAAAGATTGATTTGATTAGATGAGAAGAGTGCATACATAGTTGAGAAGAGAAGCTTGGAAGGGAAAGGGAGGAAGGTGGAACTTGGTGGAGTGAGCCATTGGGTTAGGTTGGCAACACTTGGGGAAGTGGGCCATCCTATGGCCCATTGGGTTGGGTTGGCAACATTTCCAAAGTGTTGGAACCAATGGGTGCATTTGGGGGCTCCACCACAATTTGGGTTGGATTGGCACCCCAACATGCAAGGCTACACCCAACCCAACTGTACACCACAATTGGTGTACAGTCACAAAAGTCTAAGCATGCTATAATCTATTTTCTAACACATTTCTGGTGGGAATGCTGGCACGGGGTGAGAGAGCGAGCGTGCTGTGAGAGGCAAAAGAGCGGTTGAAAGGTGTGGCGCCACTGTTGGAGTGGAAATGCGAGGCGCCCGACCATCTGTCTCTGCAGCACCTTGACGTCCGGACCTCATGCGCTCATGTGCTCACGCGCTCTCTCCCTTGTGTCACTGCATGTGTGCGTGTGCGCTCACGCGCTCTTTTCCCTGTGTGTCCGTGTGCGCATGTGTGCATGGCAGGCGAGGGTTTCACGCGGGTGTGTGGCAGCTGCATGTACATGGCACCGGAGGTGATCCGCATCTGGGAGAACCTGGGCAAGCAGCGCTACGGGCCGCCCGTGGACATCTGGGCGTGTGGGGTCATCTTCTACATCCTCCTCGCTGGCAACTACCCCTTCCTGCCCCAAGGCCCCGACCGTACGGACCTTCTCCCCCTCTCGCCTCGCCACCAATTACCCATCCAACCAACCAGCCAAGCTAATAAGGCTTGCCCTTCTCCCTCTTGCTACCATCCAATTGCCTTTATCGCCCTCTCCCTCCCTCTCTTCCTCCGTCTCTCCCTTGCTTGCTATCTTTCCATCCCACATCCTTCTCTTGTCTCTCCCTGCCCTTCGTCAACGCACCACCCACCTTCCACCCCCCTTCGATCAGTCCACGCTAGTATTCACTTGAATCCTTTTTCACCCCCACCCCTTGCCCCCTCCTCCTCTTTTCTCCTCCTCCCTGCATCCCCCCCTCCCGCCCTCCCCCCCTGCAGGGTCGGAGAGGGCGTTCAGGCGGGTGATACTGCAGCCGCAGCGCCTGTTCCGCGAGGCGGTGTGGGGGCGCATATCGGCGGACGCCAAGAGCCTCATCGCCGCCATGCTGCACCCCGACCCCGCCCTGCGCCCCACCGCGCAACAAGTGCTCGGTGCGTGCCCGTGATATAGTGGGTGGGTGGGATGTGGTGCTGTGCGGTGTACGTGGTGCGAGAGCAGATGCCATGCTGCACCCGACCCCAACCCGCGCCCCACGGCGCAGCAGGTGCTCGGTGCGTGCCAGGCTGCCACACACAGCACAGGGCTGCTCAGTGCTGGCCGCTGGGTGGGTGGGATGTGGTGCGATGAACATGGTGGCAGAGCACATGCCATGCCACCCTCCACTTCCACTCAAGCATGTGGGGGGCCGCCAGATGGCCTGTAACACCTCACATTCCGCACCCTTTTTCTAGCCTTTCTGTGTTTCCGTCCCTGCTGCTTATACTTGCCTGTCTGAACCTCCCCTCTTGTGCCTCTCTGCTGTTTGCTCTTCCTTTCCACCTCCCAATCGCACCACACTTCCCCATTCTCCACATTCACGCCCGCTCCGCACCTCCCTCTCTCCCACGTGCTGCATGCTGCATGGCCGCACAGAGCACACGTGGATAGTGCGGGCGCCGGACGAGCCGTTGGAGAAGGACGTGGTGGACCGATTCAAGCAGTTCCTCTACGTCATGCGCCTCAAGAAGGTCAAGAAGGTGGCGCTCCGGGTGAGTCGCGCACAGCAGTGTGGCGGTAGCAGGTGGGCCTGAAAGGGAGTCGGTGTACGACTGGTAGCAACAGGGCGCGAGAAAGTGCTGATGGAAAGCGTGCGAATCTAGAGAGCGTAGTAAGAGATTAAGTCCGCCGACTTCGACGGAACATTTCGTGCAGCTCACGTAATCTTATAATATGAGCAGATATGCGTTGGAAAGGTCTTAACCTCTACCCTTCAGAATGGTAAAGCACGCCTTCAACCTGGACCTAGGCCGATCGTTATTGCGATTTGAGTGCGACGGGGTATCCTGGCGGAATCACTCGGCAGCCATGGATTAGATATAGAGAATGGCTATATCAAGAGTTCAGATATGAAAAGTGACGAGTTTGATAAACCCTACCTTCCCAACCCTCGCCCTACAACAATCTTCATCAACCCAAAATGCCAAACTAACAATACCAAAGGTGTTGTAGTGAATAGCAAATGTTTGTTAGTGCTTGTTGGGTGCGAGTTCGACTCCAGCCCGCAACAAGTCTAGCAATCACATTTTTCCCAAGCCCTTAGCCCCAGCGAGAGCAAAATACCACAACCACCTACACAATCATCAAGTGCCACTTTGCTACGCGATGCTGCCGTCCCCTTTTTCACTTTCCCCCTCGCCTGGCTTGCATTACATGTGTGCCGGAGATGGTGTAGGGAGCGGGCAAGGAAGTGCACTCGCACTGCTCTGTGCCATCGCTCCGTCCTCTAATCACTCCATGCGAGACAGCGCAGTGCGAGCGTACGTGGCGTGTTTCAGTCGTACTCTCTCACTTGTCCCCTAACTTCCTGTCTGCGACATCCTCCCCACGACAGGCGATGGTGGAGGGCATGAGTGAGGACGACATCCGCGTGGTGCAGGGGGACTTGGGTCGCCTCGACCCCAACGCCAGCGGAGTGGTGCCCATAGAAGCGCTGCCCCACGCGCTGCACTCGCGCGGCTTCCACGGGCCCGCTGATGCCGTCGCCAGCATCATCCACTCGAGGGCAGTCACAACAGATCTGTTAAATGGCACTGTGTTGCCGTGAAGTGCACGTGAGATGAGTCAAGCCCCACATGTATGAGGTGCCCACGGCCGCCGCACCCAAGTCAGCCAGATCCGGTCAGGTCCAGTCCAGTGCATCTCTTGTCCCTGGTCCGGCGTTTACTTTATGTCATCTCACTTCCAGACTGAGCGTTCTTGCATGCAATGCGAGCATACACAGTGTGATGGTCGCCCGCACCGCTGAGTGCCAACATGCCTTCCCTTTCCCCCGCCCTCCCCTAATTTCTGCGCAGATCTGTCTGGACGGCAAGGTGGCGTTTGACTATGCGGACTTCTTCGTGGCGCTGCTGCAGCTGTGCGGCGTGGAGCAGCAGGAGAACCTCTTCCAGGCGTTCTCCGTGTTTGACCAGGACCTGAGCGGGTACATCAGCGAGGCGGAGCTGCAGCGCGCGTGTGACAAGTACCGCGTCAACCGCCAAGTGGTGGAGGAGATGATGGCGGAGGTCAACCGCGATGAGGTGAGATGATGGCCGAGGTGAACCGCGATGATTGATGAGCGGTGTAAGGGGTGCTCACAGTTGAGAGGGAAGGGAGTGGACAGTTGGCTGCAGGGATTCTGCCGCTCCATTCTCTCCCACCAATTCTCCAGCCCTCGTTCCACACCTCTATCCCAAATCCCGTTCCCTCCCCTCCTCCGAGTGTGGCCAAGTGGACAGCAGTTGAGACAAGCAACAGGAGGCACTGAGCTGCGTGCCCACCCACATGCCTCCATGCCTCCTCGTTCAACCATCCCTTCCCGCCCCGCGTGTATGTGTGCGTGTGCGTGCCTATGTGTGTGTGCGTGCTTGTGTGTGCGTGTGCATGTGTGTGTGTGTGTGTGTGTGTGTGTGTGTGTGTGTGCGTATGTGCGTGTGTGCGTGTGCGCGCGCGCGCGCACGCGGGCATGGGTGTGTGTGTGTGTGTGTGTGTGTGTGTTTGTGTGTGTGTGTGTGTGTGTGTGTATGTGTGTGTGTGCATGTGTGTGTGTGTGTGTTTGTGTGTGTGTGTGTGTGTGTGTGTGTTTTTGTGTGTGTGTGTGTGTGTGTGTGTGTGCGCGTGTGTGCGTGTGCCCGTGTGCTGCGTGTACATGTGTGTGCATGTGTGTGCGTGTGCATGTGTGTGTGTGCATGTGATGGTGGTTCACAGGCGGGGCGGGTGGACTACAACGAGTTTGTGGCGATGATGCGCATGCAGGCGGGCGGGGTGAGTCGGCGAACCATAGAGCGCCACATGGACAACGGCAGCATCAAGGAGATGGACCACGGGGGTGCATCAGGGCCGTACGATGGCGACAGCGATGACATGCGCAGCGATGCCGCCTGTGCTGCTGCTGATACGGCCAGTGTTGGGAATGGGGGCGGGTTCTGATTGCAGGGGATGAACGGCTGGGATGAGGGCAGGGCACCTGTGTGAATCCCGCCCGACTTGCACATCCTTGGTTCGCTTCGTCCCCCCGCCATTTGCTTAATTCCCCGAAAGACTTCTGTGAAATTGTTCTTGGTCACTCACCTATTGCTGCAACAGCCACACCTTGGGCTGGGTGCACACCCTGCACCGCATACACTAACCAGTAGTCTACCGTAGTACCTACAGTATAGTAGGTTCTCAAGAGTAGAATGCAACGGAATAATGAGTTTAGGAAACAAGGCAATACAAATAGGCAACCCTAACTGTGTTATACTCTTTAAGGAGCAACTCACTACAGCCTATCACAAATATCAACATTTGACACACCCCCATAGGCTAAGTGAGGGGCACTAGAACAAGCAGGGTGAACAAACGGTCACAAGACCAGTCAGCAAGAAGCAAAACAAGCTCAGGGTGGATCTCAAGGACACCACACAAATTCCGAGCGCAAGCAAGCGGCCACAAGGCCAGTTCAAGAGTTCACTGAGATATATATAGGAAAAGCACAACAAGCAGAGCAAGCAACAACACTACAGCAACCGAGGGCCTACCTCAACAAGCCCCAACTGCACACAGAACCTGTGGTGGTCACCAAGCGCTAGGGCCTTGGTGAAGACGTCTACAGTGTTGGCCTCTGAGGCCACAAAGTCCAGGCGTGCCTGGCCGCGTCGCTGCAGCTCTCGCAGGAGGAAGTACCTCACGTCAATATGCTTCACTCTGCTCTCCAGTCGAGGCTCTCGACAGAGGAGGATCATGGCCTTGTTGTCAGCGTACAAGGTCGGTGCAGAGCGAGGCCGCTCACCAAGGTCGGCGAGCAAGAAGGTCAACCAGCGAAGCTCCTGTGCCGCCATGGCACCAGCGTAGATCTCTGCCTCTGCACTGGAAGTAGCCACAGACGACGACCGTGTAGACCTCCACGACACAGCACCAGCTCCCAGACTGAAGCAGTAACCCTGAGTCGAGCGCTGAGTCTCCACGTCGTCAGCGTAGGAAGAGTCGCAGTGACCAGTCAACGCCACTGGCTGAGTCCCTCCAAGTACAAGCCCCATGCCTGATGTAGTCGCCAGGTACTTCGCCACCCTCACAGCAGCTGTCCAGTGGACAGGACGGTGTCTCCCAGTCGCAACAAAGCGAGAAAGTATGTTGAGGGGAAAGGCGAGGTCCGGCCGAGTACAAGTCATCAGGTACATGAGGCAGCCCACCAGCTCTGCGTAGGGACCACTGGACTCAAATGGCTCGTCGGGAAAGGGGCCAGTGAGTCTGTGGTCAACAGCAAGAGGTGTGGGCTGTGTGGTGGAGAACTGGAAGTCGAACCGCCGAAGGACCTGCTTCACCATGTGTGACTGAGTCAGTGTGATGGTGCGAGCGGCTCTGTCCCTGGTGATATGCAGGCCAAGGTAGCGCTGCAGTTCACCTAGGTCAGTGCACTTGTGTCTCTTCTGCAGTTCGGACTTCACCTGAGCCAGAGCTGCCCTGTCTGCTGTGGCAAAGACCAAGTCGTCGACGTACACTAGTATAAAGAAAGGAGTGGAACCAGTGCGAACAAACAGCGACGGGTCGGCAAAGGAAGGACAAAACCCAAGGTCACGAAGCGTGGAGTGAAGAGTGTCGTGCCACTCACGGGGCGACTGGCGGAGACCGTAGACTGGCCGTCTCAGGCTCCACTGGGTCCCAGGTGGGAAGGTGTCAGTGAAGCCAGGAGGGCGGCGTAGCCATATCTCCTCGTGTAGTCTGCCCTGGAGAAACGCAGTAGAGAAGTCAAGGGAGTGCAGCTCGTAGTCTCGCTGTGCTGCTACGTGCAGTAACACCCAAAGAGTAGTCATCTTCGGGGTCGGGGCGAAGGTCTGGAAGAAGTCAACTCCCTCACGCTGACTGAAACCCCTAGCAACGTAGCGCGCCTTGAACACAGGCGGTGAACCAGGCGGCCGCTTCACCTTGAAGAGCCACATGCCATCGACTACGTTCGCCCTGGGAGGGGGAACTGCGTCGACGTAGGTGCCTGTGGATCTCCAAGACGCTAACTCCGAGGCCATAGCCGCTTTCCACTGAGAGGCCCACGCCCCTGACACTGCCTCGCGGTAAGTACGAGGAGTCGGTATGTCAAGGGCGTCGGGGTCTCCCTCAGGGGATAGCAGCATGGCACAGACAGAGGGAGAAGCGGCTGCCCAGTACTCCAGCTCAGACTCTCTGTCCTCTAGGACGTCACAGCCAAGGGCAAACTCACCCCCGACGGACAGAGGACGGGAGGGAGGAGCTGGCACCACACGGGTGGTGTAGTCAAGGCGATTGGCGGCAGCAAACTCAGCGACAGCGGCAGTGAGAGCCGAGACAGACGACGGAGGGAAACGAGAGGTGGTGACAAGAGTGGCGAGGACACGAGAGACAACAGGACGAACATCGCGGTAGTAGTCAGTGACAGGAGTAGGGGGGAAAGGGAGAGAGGACGGAGGAGGAGACGGGAGAACAGACTCAGGAGGAGGAGGACGAAGAGACGAACAAAGGAGGGTAGTGCGGAGGTCGGTAACGGGAGACGAGGGACGAGCACGCGGAGGACAGGGACGGACACGAGAGTGTGGGACACGAGGTGGAGGAGACTGCGGTGGAGGAGAAGACCAGACCGCCAGACTATCGTCAGGAGGAGGAAACGTGGGACCAAACGCTGGAGGGGACGGAGTGTGAACAGGAGGAGAGGAGGGAAGACCAAGGGCCCGAAGGCCACTCACGGGTGGGAACAACTGCCGCTCCAGAGGGAGCTGCGGTGGTCGCGGCGGCGGCGGTGGTGTCTGCTGCTGCGGCGGCGGCTGCTGCTGCTGCTGCTGCGGCTGCGGCTGCTGCTGCGGTCGCTGCTGCTGCTGCTGCTGCTGCTGCTGCTGCTGCTGCTCCAGCAGGTCCAACTGCCGCAACTCCTGCCGCTCCCTCTCCAACAGCACCTGCTCCTCACGCTCACGCCGACGGGCCACCTGGAGACACGTGTCGTGGCGGTGGGGAGGCGGAGTGGACTCCGCAGAACCAGGGTCTCCAGCCCCAGACTCCTCAAAACCAGCACCTCCAGTGCCAGCGCCTCCAGCACCAGCACCCCCAGAACCAGCACCTCCAGCTCCAGCACACCCAGAATCAGCACCTCCTGTGCCAGGACCTCCAGCTCCAGCACACCCAGAGCTAGCGCCACCTGCGCCAGCACCTCCAACTCCAGCACCCCTAGAACGAGCACCTCCAGTGCCAGCACCTCCAGCTCCAGCACCCCCAGAGCTAGCACCACCTGCGCCAGCACCTCCAGCTCCAGCACCCCCAGAGCTAGCGCCACACGCGCCAGCACCTCCAGCTCCAGCACCCCTCGAACGAGCACCCCCAGACCGAGGACCGCCAGCGGCTGCACCTCCAGCTCCCACACCAACCGAGTCCACAGTAACCTGTCGCGGAAGTGCCGAAGGCTGCTGAGGGGACTGTGAGGAGGACTGCGGGGAGGGAGACGCGACAGGACGCGCGACCGAGGGAAGAGGGGTAGCGTGGGACACACCAGACGGGGCAGGACCAGGGGGGGGCGGGGGTACCGGAGGAGCGGGAGCAGGAGGAGGAGAGGGCGCGAGGAAAAGAGGGGGAGGGGGTACCGGGAGACCTCGACAGGGGTACCGGGTGTAGTAAGACACAGACTCGTCAAACCGGACGTCACGGGAGTCTAGGAACTGGTGGAGGGGCGGGTGGTAAAAGGACCAGTCGGGAGAGTCCACTGGGAAACCAAGGAAGACACAGGGGACGGCGCGTGCCGAGAGCTTGTCCGCGGAGGTGTCGCGAACAAGCGCAAGGCAGCCCCAGACACGAAAGGTCGACCCAACACCAGGGGAACCGGTCCAAAGACTGGTCAGTGAAGCCTCGGGCCGCGAGACACGCGGCTGGAGGTTCAGCTGGTGTGCGGCGTAGCGAACCGCGTAGGGCCACAGAAAATGGGGCGCACGGGCATGGATCATGGACGTGCGAGCAATGTCCATGACCAAGCCAATGCGGCGCTCAGCAACCCCATTCTGCTGTGGGGACTCCGGAAGCGTCCAGGACTGTACAATGCCCTGTTCGCCGCAGAATCCGCCAAGAACGCCGGAGCGAAACTCGCCCCCACGGTCGGAGTGTAGACAACTGACACGACGACCACGAGTGCCCTCAGTAGCCAGAAGCCACCGGATCAGCGTAGCAGTCACCTCGGACTTCTTCGCGAGAGGGAACACTGTGGTGTACCTGGAGAAGTCGTCGACGACCACCAGAAAGTAACGCTCCCTCCCAGAACCCTGCGTCGGGGCAGGGCCCCAAGTGGAGGGTCCAAGTGGAGGGTCACGAAGGGAGCAGTGGCCGGACGAAGGGAGGAGGAGTGGGGAGTGGCGCGTAAGCGACCGACGACGCAAGGAGTGCAAGGGGGAGCAGGGGAGGTGGGGAGCGACGGAAAGGTGCGTGGGAGACCGGTGACAAGCCCATGAGTGGTCATCCCGCGGAGGCGGGGGATCGACGGGTGGCCAAGGCGGTGGTGCCACAAGACGGTCCGGTGGGTGAGGGACCGACAGGAGCAGGACGCAGCGACTGGACTAGACAGCGCGACCTGACTAGACACTGCAACTGGACAAGACACGACTACCTGGCTAGACACATCAACCGGACTGGACACCTGGACTGGAGGGGACGCAACGACCTGAGCGGAGGACGCAACCTGGGAGCGCGCGGTGTGGAGAACGTAGAGACCGGAGCGGGGCTCCCTGGTGAACGTGGCCAGAACAGCAACTGTGGCAGCGTCTGTACAGACCGTAGTCCTCCCACCCCCCACAAAGGTAACCGTGATCCCCCTGTCCTGGAGGTAACCAACACCACCAAGTTCCGAGTGAACGAGGGGATGTGGAGGCCGCGCAGGACACCAGAGGGGACCACAGGACATGGGAGGGTAGTGGAGCTACGCGCTACGGCTGGTCCTGAGGTAGGATCAGCCAGAGCCACCGAAACAGGAGTGAGGAGTGGCGTGAGGGTCGTGTGGTCGCGAAAGAAGCACTGAGACGCACCAGAGTCCAGGGTGAAGGACAGGGACGCCTCAGCGGGAGGGTCACCTGTCCTAGTGGCTACACAAGCACCTAGAGCAGCAACACAAGCACCTAGACTAGAAAGGCACAAGTCTACACTAGCAGGAGGCAAGCAAGCTAGTCTACGAACACGCGAGCACACAGATCCATCAGCACTATAGTCAACATCAGCATACGAAGCATGCTGACGAGCATCGTCCATGGACAGATCAAACACATCAATCTCACGGGCTAACAGGCGAGCCCAGCGAGGCGTGGTCGCCGTAGGGCCCCAACGAGCACGGTAGAGGTCGTCGAGGCGGCGGAAGCACCGCGCGGCAGAGTGGTCGTCACGACCGCAGAGACAGGGGCTGCCAGGTCCGGTGAGGCACCAGTGGGTGCAGGGGCCAGTGTCACGGCGAGGGGGGCGAGGGGCCCAGCTGGAAGTGCTGCTGCTGCGGCCGGTGCTCCCTGGTCCTCCCGGACCCCACTGCGGCGGGGGACCCCAGTGCTGCTGCGGACCCCACTGCTGGAACTGCTGCGGTGCCTGCTGCTGCTGCCGTCCCTGCTGCTGCTGTTGCTGTCCCTGCTGTGACTGGTGCTGCTGTGGCTGCTGCTGCTAGGGGCCAACACCCCCGCCGGCCAGGCCACCACCAGTGGGTGGGCCTGTCTGTCCTGCACCTCCGCCAAGGCCCCCTCCTCCTGGTGCACCGCCGCCGCCGCCGCCGCCTCCACCACCGCCGCCGCCGCCTCCACCACCGCCGCCGCCGCCTCCACCACCGCCGCCGCCGCTCCCACCTCCACCTCCACCTCCGCCGCCGCCTCCACCGCCTCCACCTCCCCCCTTCCCGCCCTTCTTGCCACCCTTGCCCCGTTTCTGCCAGTCTGCGGCGGAAACGGCAGCAGTGTCCCCAGAAACCGACACAGCAGCAGAAGCGCGGGTAGCAGTGAAAGGAGGAAGCTGAGGGGCGGCACACCCCGCAAAGAGACGGGGGGGCTACTGCGTCAGTGGCGGAGGCAACGGTGAGGAGACTACTTTCGATCGTCCCAAGAGCGGTCTCAAGGAGATCGATGGTGAGCTCAGTGGGGTGCTTCTGGAGAAGCGAGTCGCGAGCAGTGGCAAGGCGGTCAGGGAGGCGGGTGACTAACCAGTGCACAGTGAGCCACATGGGGGGGGGAGCAGCAAGAAGCTGGGCGTCGGTACAGGCCGCACGGAAACCGGCGTCAAGGGAGCGGAGGTGAGTCACTAGGACGGACACAGTCGCAAACGAGCCTAGGTCGGGAAACACGAACGGCATGAGGAGGCGACTCAGGGAGGCAGAGGAAGGGGTGGAATAGCGGGCGACAATAGCATCCCAAACCCCCTGTGCTGTCTCCACCTTGTCAAAGTGGGCGGCCTCAGTCGGGGGGAGAAGCTCCGACAGCGTGAGAGCGGCGGCAGCGTCACGAGAGAGCCACACGTCCCGTGCCAGGACCCGACGCTCGTAGTCCGCCTGGGCCGTAGGAGTCGGCTCCGAGGCGGTCGGCCGGGCGGCGGGGGACGGGGGGGCCTTGAGGGCACCAGACGCGTGGGCCCACAGAGTGGCGCCGTCCTGACGCTGGCTGGTAAGGAAACGCGTGGTCTGGCGCTGCCAGGTACCGAACTCTATCGGGCGTCCCTCCGCATTGAAACGAAGGCGACGGGACTCCATAACGGAGGCCATGCTAGAGGCGGCCGGAGCTCGGCGGAGGCGGAGCTAAGAGCGAGGAGGGAAATCTAGGAGCGCCAGGTGTGGCGCGGTGTGAGACCGGCGGAGCTATAGGCTAGGAGCACGGAGGGACCTAGTCTAGGCGTGAAACGGCGGAACTCCAGCTACATGCACTAGGGGCGAGGAACTAGCAGGAACACGGGTCTACCCTAGGTAGCCGGCGAAAGAAAGCGGCTGCCAGCCGCTGAGGTCAAGACCAGTGGCAAAAGAGTTGTCTAGGGCCCCGCGCGCAGGGCGGTAGTGGGGTTCGGGCGCGTGCCAATCGCGGGTGGGAACGGGCTAACGCGGAGGCGCTAGCCTAGGTGAGGGCGAGGGCACGGTGGGCTCGGGGGGAGGGCGCACGGCGTTAGGAGAGGGCGGGGAGGAGGGTGCGTGACGGTAGGAAGGGGTGTGGAGGAGGGTGCGCGACGGTGAGAAGGGGCGGGGAGGAGGGCGCGACGGTAGGACAGGGGCGGGGAGGAGGTTGTCGACGGTGGGACGGGGCCGAGGGGAGGGCGACGCGACGGGCAGGGGGAAGGGAGGCGACGCGACGGGCAGGGGAAGGGGAGGCGAACGCGACGGGCAGGAGGAGGGGAGGCGACGCGACGGGCAGGGGAAGGGGAGGCGAACGCGACGGGCAGGAGGAGGGGAGGCGACGCGACGGGCGGGGGAAGGGGAGGCGAACGCGACGGGCAGGAGGAGGGGAGGCGACGCTACGGGCAGGGGGAAGGGAGGCGACGCGACGGGCAGGGGAAGGGGAGGCGAACGCGACGGGCAGGAGGAGGGGAGGCGACGCGACGAGCAGGAGGGGGGGGGCGACGCGACGGGCAGGGGGAGGGCGCAACAGTGGGAGGGGCCGGGCTAGGCGTGCGTTGAGGGCGCGGAGGGCGCGGAGGGCACTAACGTGCGGAGGGCGCGGAGGGCACGAACGTGCGGAGGGCGCGGAGGGTACGGAGGGCACGAACGTGCGGAGGGCGCGGAGGGCACGGAGGGCACGGAGGGCGCTAAGGCGCGGAGGGCGCTAAGACGCGGAGGGCGCGTGGGCGCGGAGGGCGCCAGGGCTAGGCTAGGGCTAGGCTAGGGCTAAGGAACTCGAACCTACTCTGATACCATCTCAAGAGTAGAATGCAACGGAATAATGAGTTTAGGAAACAAGGCAGTACAAATAGGCAACCCTAACTGTGTTATACTCTCTAAGGAGCAACTCACTACAGCCTATCACAAATATCAACATTTGACATAGGTTCTTAACCAGGTGCAATGGATCTAAACATGTGCTTGCAGTAAAACTGGCTCGTGCTTCTGAGTCGTGACTAACCTCTCAGATGTGTTGAGCTTAGATACCAAGACTCTAGGATCATTGAGACGTGGAAGGCAAGGATAAAGATAACATTGGATCAACAAGTCCACACTTTTTTTAACCACTGATTTTCAGCGTAAATTTGCTAGTGAACTCTGTTTTTTCAGCCTACATCAAAACCAATCTAGGGGGCTGGTGTTACTAGAGTAGAGATTCTTTTTTATTAATCAAAAGTCAAGACCCTAGGGTGAGAGAATAGACATGCTAGTCTAGTCAACCAAATGCAAACAAGGCAGTTTAGAGCTATTGCAACTTGGCTATCCAAATCATTGGTGCTTATAATGAGTAATTCTTCCTAAACTTTATAACCTATGGTATAACCATGTAACTAATCCTGGTACCGTCCAATCTAACCAGTCAACCCTAGCAATCTACCCTTTCCCCTTGATTCCTTCCTCCTTTCAACCTTGCGACTTCACCAACCAACTCTGCTCCTCCTCCCAGCCTTCCACCTCGTCGCAACCACCCATCTGCCCCCCTCCCTCCTCACCTCAGCTGCAGGTCGACCACGTTCTGCCTCTCCAGCAGCGACTGAGGCACATGCTTCAGCTCGCAGCACCCAGCTACAATCACCTCCCTCAACGTCCCCACACCCGCCAGCCCCTCCGGCAGCGCTTGCAGCTGCTCACAGTCTTCCAGTGAGAGGATGACCAAGGCAGGGAGGAGGGAGAGGGACTCTGGCAGGCGGCGCAGGCGGGGGAGACAGTTGAGCTTGAGGGAGGCGAGGCGGGGGAGGGAACCGATGGAGGCGGGAAGAGAGGAGAACTTTTTGCATTCGGTGACGGAGAGGAGGACGAGGGAGGAGAGGAGACCGATGGATGCAGGCAGCCCCGTTAGCGCGTCACAAAACTCCACCGTGACCTCTTTCAGAGCCTTCAGCTGCCCGAGATTCCTGGGCAGGTGTGCCAGCTGCGGGAGAGTTGTCAACATGAGTTTTTCAAGGTTGGAGAGGTGGGCTAGGGACGCGGGGAGGGAGGGCATGGCCACACAGTCCTCGACAATGAGTGCTTTGAGGCTTCTCAGCTCGCTCAGGTTGCTGGGTAGCGACGGCAGGCCAGATCGCACGATGGCAAGGTGCTGCAGAGACGAGAGGAGCGCCAGGCTGGCGGGCGGACCGGGGTGAGGATCAATGCGGAAGCCAAAGATGGGATCGGTTTGTGTTCCCGCCTCCCAGTCGCCTAGTAGGTCCTCCGGTGGGGCGCCGTGCGGGGGAGCAAAGAGCGCCTGGAGACAGAGGAGTTCTTGAAGGTTGAGATGGGTGAGGCGCGTGAGGGAGAGGAAGGAGGGTGGGAGGTAGAGGGCCTCGAGAAAGACGCTTGAGAGGGAGATGACGGTGGTGGAGGGGGGGAGGGCGACGGGTACAGTGAGTGAGACCCACTCCTCGGGCGAGCCCAGGGCGATGCAGTCTTCCAGCGTGATGCGCTCCAGCCTGGGCAGCCGATGCACGCCGTCCGGAAGGCTTGTGAGCTTCGGGCACTTGGAGATCTCGAGGGTCTGAAGCATTGGGAGTGGAGCGGAGCAAGCAGCAAGGCGCGCTGAAGGGCGGGGAAGAGCATGAGGGGCGGGCAAAGTGGTAGCAGGGGCAGCCGGGGCGACACGCCCCCCATGTGCAGAGGTCGAGGTGGGAGGAGGTGCGGGCAGGAGGGAGGGGAAGCAGCGCAGCTATGGGCAGTTCTTGACGCACAGCACTTGCAGCCCTGCCAGCCGTCCTAACCCCTCTGGCAGGCTGTCCAGTTCAAATAAAGGAATCTTACAGGCTAGCAGTTGTGCCCAGCGCGGGGTGCGTCCCGCGTGACCGTGAAGCACACGGTAGAGGTCATCGAGGTGGCGGAAGCACCGCGCTGCAGAGTGGTCACCGCGCCCGCAGACACAAGGACTACCCGGTCCCATGAGGATTCAGTAATCGCAGGGGCCGGAGTCAAGCCCAGGGGGGCGGGGGCCCCAGCTGGCAGAGCCGCCGCCATGGCCACTGCTCCCTGGTCCTCCATGTCTCCACTGCTTCGGGGGGGCCCCAGTGCTGCTGCAGACCCCACTGCTGCGGGGGGGCCCACGGCTGAACCTGCTGCTGTCCCTGCTGCTGCTACTGTCCCTGTTGTGGCTGCTGCTGCTGTGACTGCTCCTGCTGGGCTCCCGGACCACCGCTCGTGGTAACAACTCCACCTGGCGGGCCCGCCTATCCAGGACCGCCTCCATTGTCTCCTCCTCCAAGCGCACCAGTACCGCCTCCGCCGCCACCACTGCCACTACCAGGTCCACCTCCTCCACCTCCATCGCCACTACCCCCCTTCCCCCTTCCTTGCCACCCTTGTCCCGTTTCTGCCAACCAGCGGCAGAAATAGTTGCAGTCCCCTCAGAGACAGACACCGCAGCAGTGGCGCGAGTAGCAGTGAAGGTGGGAAGCTGAGGGACAGCACACCCCTCAAAGAGACGGAGAGCTACTGCGTCAGTGGCAGACGCAACAGATAGGAGGTTACTTTCGATCACACCCGTCCATCACCAACTGCTGCAGATACGCGAGGGAAGACAAGGACGGGGGCAAGCTGCGCAGCAGGCAGCGCCCCAAGAGCGGCTCATTCAGAGTGGCCAGTGAGAGCGCCGTGGGGCACGCAGTTGAGGAGCGCTGCTCTGGATCCGCGCCGTCCCTCGTGTAACTCTCCCTGCTTCCCACCTTCAAAACTTCTAGCTTCGGCAGCTGCCCGAACCTCTCCGGCAGGTTCGGAATGGCGCAGTTGAAGAGCTCCAGGCACCGCAGCTGCGGGAGCTGCTCGAAGCAGGGCGGCAGGGAGATGAGCGACGTTCCCCCGTAGATGACCAGCGTTTCCAGCGAGGAGAGATTTGCAAAAAACGCGGGCAGCTCGAGTAGCCCGTAGCAGGCGTGGAGCCTCAGCTCCTGCAGCTTCCCCAGCTGCCCGAATGACCTGGGCAGGGCAGGCAAATGCCCGCAGCACAGCTTCAGCTGGGCCAGGTTTGACAGCTGCCCGAAATCCTCGGGCAGCGCCCACACAGCGCAGTCATCGAGTGTAAGGCGGGTGAGGGAGGTGAGGGCGGAGACTAAACGCGGGAGAGCCACAAGGCGGCGGCACTTGACGATGCTCAGCTCGTGAAGGCGCGACGCGCATCCCAGGGAGTCGGGAAGCGCCGTGAGGGCGTCGAGAAAGATGAGGTCGACGCGTTCCAGCGTGGGAATGCGGCCGATGGCGTCCGGCAGGGATAAGAGCGCTTGGCAGTCGTTGAGGGAGATGCGCTCGAGCGTGCGGCTGCTTGAGAGCGATGGCGGGAGGTGCGTGATGCGGCCGTTGCCTTCAATGGTGAGGTCACGCAGCGCGGGCAGCTGACCGAAAGATTGTGGGAGGGCAGCGAGGGCAATTAGTGCTTCCAGGTGGATGGTGCGCAGATTCGCCAGCTGGTGAAAGTTTTCGGGCAGTTTTGCGAGCGCGTAGCAGTGCACGAGTGTCAGACTGGTAAGCGCAGAGAGGAGGCAGGTGGAGGCGGGCAGCTCGACGAGTTGCATCAGAAGTTTGAAAGTGAGATTCTTGAGGTTTCGGAGCTGCCCGAGGTCGCTGGGCAGATGGGAAAAATCGCAGCCACGCAAGCTGACGTGCTTTAGGGCGGGCAGGCCGCAAAAGGAATCGGGCAGCACGAGGGAACTCGACCGGATTTGTAACCGCTTCAGTCGCACCAAACTGCCAAACTCCGCCGGTAACGTGGTAACATCGTCGTCAAAGGACATGCCAAAATTCGTGAGCTGCTGCAGGCAGCTGACGGCAGCGGGAACCTCGGAAAGCCCTTTCCCAAAGTTCACGTCGAGACTGACCAATCGCGTGCAAGAGCAAAACAAGGCGGCGACATCGGCCGGCGAGACCGCCCCCGCCGATAGCGCCGCTTCCGCCACCGCCGCCGCCTGCGCGCCGATCCCTCGGAAAGAGTACTGTCGCGCGCGCGTCACGGGCAGCCAGCCATCGTGTAGCTGCAGAGTGAGGTGCGTTAAGGACGGCCCGGATCCGACGCAGATGGCACAGAGCGCGGGATCGACGGTGTCCAGCGCGTTCGGCGCGAGGTGCAGGTGGCGGAGGTTGGGGAACCCCGCGGTCGCGGGCGCGCGGAGGAGGGACGCGAGGGCGCGCGCGGAGAAGAAGCGGTTGAGCGGAACGACGATGGCGGGATGCACGAGTCGGGCGACGCGCAACCAGCGCTTGCAGACGAGCGCGTGGCGGAACGAGACCAGCGACGACGAACACCTAACGGGAGCCTCGGGATTGCCGGCGAGCCACGCGCTCTCCGAGGGGAGCGGCTCGATTAGGGCCTCGTCGATCTTCTTTTCCGCATCGGCTTCTTCGTCGTCACTAACAGGACAATCATGGCCGCCGAATCTGACGCCGTTGCACGCCACGCGCAGCAGCACGGCGCCCAGCAGGTTGTCGGAGAACGCAGTGAAGGGATCGCCGTTAAACCGCCTGGTCTGCTGCTGCGGTGGTGCTTCGCGATTCCGAGTCGAAGCCTCAGCCATGTTTGATCTGGCGATTATGCTATCCTTGCTCGAAAGGACGAAGATACACGATGAGATCTCATATCCGAACTTACGAATTCGGCAGTGTGCGGTGGAAATCTGCGGATTTACAAGGGTTGGAGTGCAATGGTGCGCTGCGGTCTCAAAGCTTTAGTTGAGAAAGCGCAGCATGTCACTTCAAGAACAATCCTCCTGACCTTCAGGCAGACATGAAGTGGGGACAAGTGAGCGGGAAAGCCAAGCACACTCTGACAAGATGAGTAGCGTGGCATGCATGGCAGGTGAGGGTTGATTGCGAGGGACGTGGGGTAGCGACAAGTGGCAGACTCACAAAGAAATGAACACCAAAGGATGCGCTTCGATGTCTGCTATCACGAGTCGCGTTTCGTCGTTGTACAATAAAGTTACAATTGGAAGGAATGGATATTTCCTTACGATTTCGATGCTAGAAAGACAGCTGCACCTTTCAAATCATGGTAGAACTGAAGCTTTTATTGTCAGAAAGTGGAGTGTTACAATCAAGGCATTCCACCTGGCTAAGTTGAGGCGTGGGGAGTGACATGGCAGGAAGTGGCTAGAAGCGTTTGTGCTTGACGCGCCACACTCGCCAGCGGTTGCGCCCCACCAGGAATGCCAGATATGCCAGCACTGCCCCCCCGCCCCACACCGACCACGCCACTGGCGCCTCCTGGCAGCACAGCGAGACACACAGTAGGGAGGGGTGACGCGAGGGGCATACGTAGAGGGGTGAGGCGAGGGGCACACAGGGAGGGGTGAGGCGAGGGGCACACAGGGAGGGGTGAGGCGAGGGGCACACAGGGCATGGCGGGCAGAAGGGGGAGGGCGGAGAGGGGAGGGGAGGGGATGGGCGTACCTGGAAGCAGGAGAAGGTGGTGTGCATGTCCTGCGCGGACTGCCCTGCGAGCTCAAACAGAGCGTCCATGTCATGGCGCGCCGACCGCGCGTAGTACCCCGCCAGCCCCATGTCCACCGCTGACAGCGCGGCCGCGGCGCGCTGCAGCTTGTGGCGCAGCACCGCCCACCGCTGCTCAAAGCGCTGCCTCACTGCGCCCGGCTTCAGTGCCGCCTCCTCCGACCCGTACCTCTGGCAGTACAGGGGTGGTGGGGGCGGACAGCGGAGGGGAGGGGAATGAGAAGGCGGTCAAGCACGGCACAGAGAGAGGAAAGCAATGACGCTTTGGGTTGAGGTGCGGTTTGGGAGGTAAAGATTGCTGAGGAGAACAAATGGCGAGGGAAGATGATCAAGGGAGGGAGAATGGGAGGGGGGAACAGGAGGGGAGACGGGGAGAGGAGAAGGTGACGGGAGAGGGAGAGGGGAGGGGGAGAAGGAGAGGGAAGAATGCAAGGGGAGAGGGCATGGGGAGAAGGGAAGCAAAGCGGGGCACCTGCAGCGCGGAGAGGAGGTGCAGGGTGCTGGCGATGGTGGAGTTGAGCGTGGAGAGCACCACGTTGCGCAGCGCTGTGTCTCGCATCGTGGTGGTGAGGGCGAGGTGGCGTGAGAAGGGGCCCATGGGCGTGATGCCGCCGCTCCACCGGTAGTCGTGCTGTGAAGCGTTGTGGATGGCGCTCCATGCCTCGTGGCTGGTGGGGGAGGGATGCACGCAGGGCAGATGGCACAGGGCAGGTGGGAGATGGAAGATGCATGGAAGTGGTGAGAGCGTACATGGGCAGCGCGGCTGGCAGTGAGGCTGGCAGTGAGGCTGGCAGCGCGGCTGGCAGGGCATTGTGGGTGCAAGGTCAATGCAGGAGCGGGTTGGATGGCGGGAGATGAGGGTGCATGCGTGGCAGCGCGGAGTGCCTGGCCCTCGCACAGTGCGGACGGCAGCAAGCAAGGTGGCGTGTGCGCGATGGAAGCCGGGAGGCAGCGGAGGGGGAGCAGGGGGAGAGCAGGGGGCAAGCAGGGGCGGCAGGGGGGGGGGCGTACGTGGGGGCGACACCCCAGGCGGTCTGCAGGATGGCGGAGAGCACGGGGCGAGTGACGTTGCTGGGGTCCACGTCCACCACCTCGCCCTCGCACCTGCTCGTCGTGCCCACAGGGTGCGGCGGGTGGTGGGGTTGGGGCGGAGGAGAAGGGGGGGGGGCAGACAGGCAGGGCGTGGAAAGCAGGCAGCAGAGGGGGATGTGGGTCACAGAAGGTGCAGCAACGGAATAAAAACAATGGCAGTGTGAGCGTCGTGCTACAAACCCTTGTGCCTCCCATTCCCCCACGTGCTCCCCATCTCCCCGCCGTCTTCCCTTCCCCAGTCTCACATGTAATGGGAGGGCAGGGGCGGGGCAGTGGTGCGCACAGCCAGCACCATGTCGTCGTACGCCAGCGCCTGATGGGGGGTGGGAATGGTATGATGGTGACTCAACAGGGGCAAGGAATGGAGACCAACTTATCACGGCATCATGCTAACACGGCTGATCGCGAAATGGGGTTGATGCATGCTTCCTCCTACCCCTTTGCACTGCCCCTTCCCCACCGCCCCTCTGCCACGGGCATTATCCGGTGGCGGCCGTCCAGCAGCAGCAGGTATGGCTCGTGGAGGTCGAACAGAAACGCCCCTCGTGGGGGTTGACACATGCCCAAAACCACTTTGTATCCCTTGGCACCCCACCCCATGCCATGAGCATCACCCGGTGGCGGCCGTCGAGCAGCAGCGGGGTGGGGTCGTGGAGGTCGAAGAGGAAGACGGGGAAGAAGCGGCCCGCGTGGGGGTTGGGGTCGTTGCGCTCCGCATAGTCCGGCAGTGGCAGCCCCGCCAGCTCTGATGGCACGGCAGATGCGCACGGGGTTGGGGATGGGAGAGCATGGGGAGGTGGGAGTGAGCTGATGGCGCAGCACAGAAGCACAGGGGGGGGGCGGTTTAAGCTGCGCAGGGCCATGAATGCTCACTAAGCAGATCCGCCCACTAAAGCACATGTCAGCTAATCGGGTGAGCAGGACTGGTTTATCTCACCAGTGATCTCAGGCCAGAACTCTGACAGGTGGCGGTGCAGATCCTCCGAGTCCAGGTGGCGCCGCACCTCCATGCCACCTGGCATGCCTGCTGCTGAGCTGGCACCTGAGGAGGCAGTGGAGGCCTCGTACAGCCCCGACTGGCGGGGTGACGGGGCGGCAAGGAGGGGAGGCGGGGCAAGCGAGAGGAGAAAACAGGAAAGGAGAGGACCAGGAGAGGACAGGAGGGGGGGACGTTGAAGCGAGGGAACACTTTTAACTCAACTGATTGTAGAATAATTCTTAGTCGAGGTTGAAAATAACATTTGCCTGAGCTACATCGGAAACGTTTGTAGCACCTTCGTTCGCACTGGCAACTGGGAGGGCACATGATAGTCATATGCCCACCCTGAGGTGATGGGATGGAAGTGAGGCATGCAAGGAGAGGGAGCAGGGTGGGTGGGGAGCGCACCCGCATGGCGCGGTGCAGAGCGGTGGAGCAGAAGGAGCAGGTGGCGAGGGAGAGGTCCACCTGCTTGAACCGCACCTGCTGCCCCGCCAGCACCACTGGTGGTGAGCGCGCTAGCAGCTGCGCGGGTGAAGGGGGTGAGGATGCAGTTGTGAGGGGTTGGAGGGGTGGGACAGTGGCGAAGCAAAGTGAGCACAACGATTGCAGGCTAGGGTGCCACGGGATTCTGATAAGGTCAGAATGAATGGCAGAGGGGAATGGGCAGGTGCAGTGTGTGAGATGAGGTGTGTGTGAGGGGCGCAGAGGGCCCAGCAGCACCTGGTCCCCTTCACCCACGATCCACGCTTGCCATGCACCACGGTGATGCACGCGCTCATCCCCATCCCCCCACGTGCACGCCCCACCTGGTCCTTGATGGCGCTCAGGTCGAGCCCCATGTCATCATCGCCCACATGCCTGCCATCGCCGGTAGCGCTGCGCATGGCGATGAGCCAGATGTCGGTGGTAACCGCGTACACCACGGGCGCGTGCAGCAGCGGCGGCACAAACACATGGCGCACGGCACTGTCCACCAGCACTGCCACGTGCGCCAAGAATGCCTGTGGGGGGGCAGAGCAGGGCAAGAGTGGGAGGAGAGAGGCAGGTGCAGGGCAGGGAGGGGGTAGTGGATGTGAGTGCAGCAGCGGGTGGCAGTGCTGCCGCCCTCCCAGTGGCCGCCTGTGGGGACGGCTGGGGGAGACCCACACTGCCATGGTGGGACGTGATTGGGTGAGTGGGAGCGAGGGGGAGAGCAGCAGATGCGTGCAACGCTGGCAGGCAGACGTGAGCACACACATGCACTCACAAATGCACAACACATGCACGCGTGCTCCCCCATCCCCCATGTGATCTCACCCCGTGCAGCAGCTCCTTGCTGTACTGCTCCGCGCGCAGGTAAGCGGCGGGTGTGACGCCCCCCTGCCCCTCCCACGCCGGCCCGTAGCTCACTGGCCCCGCCGTCAGGTCCACCCACACGTAGCGCTGCTCACAGACGAGGGGGGGGGGGGACGAGGGCGCGAGGGGAGAGGGGAGAGGGGAGAGGGGAGAGGGGAGAGGGGAGAGGGGAGAGGGGAGAGGGGAGAGGGGAGAGGGGAGAGGGGAGAGGGGAGAGGGGAGAGGGGTGGTGGTATGAGTGAGGGGTGCATGGGGGGTGGTGGTGTGAGTGAGGGGTGCATGGGGGGTGGTGGTATGAGTGAGGGTGCACGGAGGGGCAGTAAGCAATTGGCAGCAAGCAAGGCTGGCACAGAGTGTGAGAGGGAAAGAGCGCATCACCTCATCATGGAAGGTGGTGCCAGGGCACACGGTGTCCCCCCGGCTGCCATACGAGTACGCGTAGCGCCGCGGCATCACCCGCGGGTTCAGCACGTACACCGCGTAGCCCCCCCCCGCCCCTGCGCCGTCCCCAGTAGCAGCAGCAGCGGGGGGTGTGAGCGTGGCGGCGTCGGTGCGCACGTGGGTGTCCACCAGTGCGTGCGGCAGCAGCACCACCCCGCCCTCACCCACCCGCCCCATGGCCTGCCGTGAGCACACGGGGGAGATGGGAGTGGCGAGAAGGCAGGGAGAAGGAGGACATGGTGTGGTGCGGCATGGCATATGAGTGTACACAAATCTTGGTAGGGTGGCCTGGTGAACCACAGTTGTAACCACTCCAGCCCAGCCCAGTTGGGTGAGTCGCACTCACCACAGGTAGTTTGGTGCCTCCTTGCCTGCTAGGCTCAGTTGCTCAGTGGGTAAGTTGGCGCCACTGGTCAGAAAACCTGGTTACTCTACCAACAAAGTTAAGACACATCCCTGTCCACCAAGATCCACTTACTGACAACCGAGTTTACAACTCCACTAGGTTTCCTTCACACCTGTCCCTCCATGTCACCACCACCCCTATGCCTCACTGCGGGTGTGCATGTGAGTTCGGGTGCGTGTGAGAGTGGGTGCGTGTGAGTGCGAGCGCATGTGAGTGCGTGTGTGCATGAGAGCCTCACCCGCCCCACGAAGCGGAAGATGTCAGCGGAGATGGCGGAGGCCAGGCGCCTGGGCGCACGCGACACGGAGAACGCCACGCGCTGCCGCACTGCCAGCGCGTGTGACTGGGGGGAGGGGAGAGGGGGGAGATGGAGGGGGAAGGAAGAACAATAGAGAACAAAAAGGGACTGGGTGAGAACAATATAGGATTCTGGAAGGAGAAACGGTGGCAGAAGGGAGGACGAGAGGGCTAAGGAGCGCGAGGGGCGGATGAAGACAGCGAGAGGGCGCAGGGGATGGAGGGGCAGAGAGGGCGCAGGGCATGGAGGGGCAGAGAGGGTGGCGGGGCGGTGTAAAGGCAGGAGGCGCATGTGGGTGTGGACGGTGGACGGTGAGGGGCAGAACGGGCAGAGGTGGCCGAGTGTGATGCACGCACATGGGGCAGTGTATGGGGCAGTGTATGGGGCAGTGTATGGGGCAGTGTATGGGGCAGTGTATGGGGCAGTGTATGGGGCAGTGTATGGGGCAGTGTATGGGGCAGTGTTATGGGGCAGTGTATGGGGCAGTGTATGGGGCAGTGTATGGGGCAGTGTATGGGGCAGTGTATGGAGCAGTGTATGGAGCAGTGTATGGAGCAGTGTATGGAGCAGTGTATGGAGCAGTGTATGGAGCAGTGTATGGAGCAGTGTATGGAGCAGTGTATGGAGCAGTGTATGGAGCAGTGTATGGAGCAGTGTATGGAGCAGTGTATGGAGCAGTGTATGGAGCAGTGTATGGAGCAGTGTATGGAGCAGTGTATGGAGCAGTGTATGGAGCAGTGTATGGAGCAGTGTATGGAGCAGTGTATGGAGCAGTGTATGGAGCAGTGTATGGAGCAGTGTATGGAGCAGTGTATGGAGCAGTGTATGGAGCAGTGTATGGAGCAGTGTATGGAGCAGTGTATGGAGCAGTGTATGGAGCAGTGTATGGAGCAGTGTATGGAGCAGTGTATGGAGCAGTGTATGGAGCAGTGTATGGAGCAGTGTATGGAGCAGTGTATGGAGCAGTGTATGGAGCAGTGTATGGAGCAGTGTATGGAGCAGTGTATGGAGCAGTGTATGGAGCAGTGTATGGAGCAGTGTATGGAGCAGTGTATGGAGCAGTGTATGGAGCAGTGTATGGAGCAGTGTATGGAGCAGTGTATGGAGCAGTGTATGGAGCAGTGTATGGAGCAGTGTATGGAGCAGTGTATGGAGCAGTGTATGGAGCAGTGTATGGAGCAGCGTATGGAGCAGTGTATGGAGCAGTGTATGGAGCAGTGTATGGACCAGTGTATGGAGCAGTGTATGGAGCAGTGTATGGAGCAGTGTATGGAGCAGTGTATGGAGCAGTGTATGGGGCAGTGGTTGGGGAAGTGGTGGCATGCAGGCGATGCGGGAATGCCATACCTACCTCGCCATGAATGCCATACCTCGCCATGAATGCCATACCTCGCCATGAATGCCATACCTCGCCGTGAATGCCATACCTCGCAGTGAATGCCATACCTCGCAGTGAATGCCATACCTCGCAGTGAATGCCATACCTCGCCGTGAATGCCATACCTCGCCGTGAATGCCATACCTCGCCGTGAATGCCATACCTCGCCGTGAATGGCTCGAAAGACGGTGTCTGGTTTGAGCGTGTTGAGGAACTTGCTCATCTCCTCCTGGCACACGCACACACTCCCGCACTCACACCCCCGCACACACCAATCACCCCCCCACACATACCAATCACCCCCCCACACACACCAATCGCCCCCCACACACGCAAGCAAATCACACCGTCACACACACCAATCACCTTCCCCACACATCAATACCCACCCACACGCCAATGCCCCCCCCCCACAGCAATCGCCCCCCATGGCATGGCATGGCAGCAGCAGGGAGATGGAGAGTGCAAGTGAGGGAGCGTGGCGGCATGGGCGGCCAAGTGGTGAGCACACACAGGGGACATGCATGGTACAACGGATGCAGATGCGGTGAGAGTGTCAGCGAGCATACGGGGAAGGGAGCAAGGCGCAGCAGCCCCGCACTTGGCCTTTCTCCTTCAACTTCCCCGCACACTCCCCTCGCCTCCTCCAGTGCCACCCCCTCCGCGCCACTCCTCGCATCACTCCTTGCCGGATCGCCTCCGCCCTTCTGCCCACCATCCCTCCTTCTCTCCCTCGTCCTTTTCTCCCCCGCATCTGCTTCCCCTGCCTCCCCCCCCGCTCATCGCCCCCACCCCCCCCTCTCACCGGGGAGACGCGGAGATCATCGTCCCGCGCGCTCACTGGCGTGGCGCGGAGCTCACCGCCCCCCTCCCCCCCCCCCCCGCTCACGGGCTGCACGCGGAGGTTGCTGTTGTCGTCGCGGTCGCCGTCGAACCCCACGAGCCGCACGTGCACGCGCGTCACCACCTTCACCTCCGCCAGCCGCCGCATCTTCGCCGCCAGCCCCGCGTCCTCCGCCGCGCCCTGCGCCCACCGCCGCTTGTCCGCCTCCGCCAGGCGCGCGAACGAGTCGTCGTCCGCCAGCGGGTCCTCCGCCAGCCCGTTCAGGCGCGCCGCTGCTCCCCCGCCGCTGCCGTGGGAGGCAGCGGTGGAATGCGGGAGGGGGAGGAGGAGGAGCAGGAGGAGGAAGAGGAGCGGCATGGCGATGCCGCAGGCCGGCAGAGGCTCGCAGCGAGAATGGGCGAATGGAGGGCAGCGAGCGACGGCGACGCGACGTGAGCTCGTGGGGCGGCGTGCTGAGCGATGTATGATCGCAGGATCGCAGGGTGCAATTGGATCGGATGATCGCCAACGACAATTGTGCATGTTCGTTCAGAGCAAGTTGGTGATCGGGAAATTGTTCTAACGCCAACGTGTCGTAAACAGAGCCATGTTATGGCGTGTTACATTGTAACGTCCAAACCAATTTGTTATGAATGAACTTGCAGAGTGTGCAGAATAACGAATATCGAGAATATGGAATTACTGAATGACGATACAAGGAAAGTAGCGAGCCTAAATAGGGGAAATCCTAGCTAGGCGGGAAGGTCGTTCGAGGATGGCTTGGAGATGTTGCGATTGGAGCGGGGCCGACTCGGGAGTGGTTCGGTGCGGAAATGTAGGCCGAACGAAACTGTCAAATGCTATAATTGTTATAGGCTGCAGTGAGGTACTCCCTAGAGAGTACAACTCAGTTAGGGTTCATATTTCTATCCGAACCCTTGCTAGTCAACACATTCCGCTATGCATCACTCTTGAGATGGTACCAGTTTTATGTTACCTCCTAGGACCCTCGCCCCGCCCGCCGCCCGTCCTCCTAAGAACCTCGCTCCGCCCGTCCCTCCTAGCCAGCCGCGCGTGCCCCGGCCAGAAGCACGCGCCCTAGCCAACAGCGCGCGCCCCAGCCAGTAGAACGCGCCCTCCTAGCCAGAAGCGCGCGCCCCAGCCAGCAGCGCGCGCCCCAGACAGTAGCGCGCGCTCCAGCCAGACGAGCGCGCCCCAACAAGACGTGCGCGCTTCAACCAATAGCACGCGCCCCAGCCAGAACGCGCGCGCCCCTTAGCCAGCAGCGCGCGCCCCAGCCAGACATGCGCGCCCCTCGCCAGAACGCGCGCTTCTAGCCAGAAATGCACGCCCCAGCCATAGCGCGCGCCCCTAGCCAGGAACGCGCACCCCAGCCAGAAACACGCCCCACCGCCCCTCATACCCGACCCACAGCCCCTCATACCCTCCTAGCCGCCCACACCTCCTTCTAGCCGCCCACCATAGCCTAATCCCGCCCATTTTTGCCTGTCCCCCATAGCCGCCCTCAGTACGCCTTGCAGTTTGCTCCGCCCTTGCAGCCACCAACCGCAGCCACCAACCGGTTACGCCCCTAGCCACTAGTAGCACTACCTGTGACCCACCGTCTTGTGCTCGTCTCCGGCCACTGGCACCTCTCGCAGCGGCTGGCAGCCGTGGTTACGTTTCCTGAAGTAGCTCCGGTTTTGTGGCCCGACTGGCGTTCCTAGCCCGCCTTGCCTACCCGACCGTTCCTAGGCTGATGTTTCTTAGTCGGTAGTTAATGTCTTACTCCAGCCGCTTCTAGCTCCAGTCGTTACTCTCTCCAGCCACTACTTGCTCCAGTCGCTCCTCGAGCCAGTAGTTTCTAGCCTGACGTTTCTAGCTCCGGCCGTGTCTCATCTAGCCGTTCCTCGTTCCAGCCGCTCCTAGCTCCAGCTGCTCCTATTGATACGATTCAAATTAGGAATTGGTGAAGTTTTAACGGTGCACTTTTGGTCGACGGCGTTTCTTGTGAAGTCGACGTTTCTGTCCAGAATTATAGACCAACGATTTTGAGTCATTTCGGCCCTTAATCTTCGTAGAATCCGTCCTTAGTCTCTAACAAGTGGTATCAGAGCGGATTAAGGATATTGTGAAGAGTCTACTGAGGTGTGAAAAACCTTCTAGACCCACCATGACCTGTGGGCGTGCCTAAGTGGTGTTCTGGAGGTTGGATGTGACTTCCGCTAAGGGGAAACTCTGCCGAAATTTCGTTGGCGCCGACACTTGTGGAAATTGTGTGGGACTTCGGTGTGGACAGCAAGGGGAGAGCTGAAACCTGAGATTGAGTGAAGATAAGATGAGTCAAGAGAGTGGAGAAGCAGCTGAGAAGAGGAATGAGCCGCCACCATCCAAGATTGAGGCATTGGATGGCTCCAACTACGAGGAATGGAGTGGGCGGATGAGGAGTGCCTTCAAACGGTACAAGCTACTGAAGTTGGCTATGGGGGAAACGAAGATGCCGGAGGAAGGAGATGCCCGCGATCGGTGGATTGAGAAGAGCACGGTGCTGTACGACCTCATTCTACAATCGGTCAACAACGATATGTTCCAGCACATCAAGGATTTGGTGGAGTTGGATGATTCCGGACCGAAGGCATGGAAACTACTGCGCGACGTGGTTCAGCCCAACACGCTGCCGATTGTGATTGTGTTGGAGAAGGAGCTGGCTGCCCTCTCCATGCGACCGAGAGACTATGTGAAGCCGATCCTTGATAAGATCAAGGACACCTATGCGAGGATGGCATCGGCGGGCAGCACGGTGTCGCAGATGCAGCAGTGCACCAAGATCATCTCGGTGCTCGACAATTCGTGGGACAACCTAATCCCCACCCTCAACACTCAGCAGGACCAGTAGACACCTGAGTGGCTACGGCAACAGATTCTGCAAGAGGACTTCCGCAGGCGCCACACGGGTGGTGGTGCTGCCAACAAGACTGCTGAGGGGTATGGAATTGCAGGAGGCAGCAGAGGAAGAGGGGGAGGGAGAGGCCGAGGCCGTGGGAGAGGCTTTGGCAGAGGGAGAGGCCAAGGTGACTACAATGAGGGGCATGGGAGCACTGGTGGCAGGGGGAGCACCCGAATGGAGGGTGCGTGCTGGTACTGCAAGAAAGCTGGACACCCATGGTTCAAGTGTTTCAGCCGGCCTGAGGGATGGGCGCCTCCAGACATGAAGCCGCCAAGTGGTGAATGCGCACGAGGTGGTGCTGTGCAAGGTTCAGGTGCACAAGGTGATGGTGCACAAGGTAAAGCCTCCCCTGGGATGTTCCTCATGGTTGAAGATGTGCAAGGAAATGGGGGTGATGTGGGTTCAGTTGGGAAGGTTGTGATGCACCCCCTAACTCACTGGGTGATCGATTCAGGTTGCACAAGTCATATGACCCCACGGGCAGATTTTCTTGATGAGGTAAAGCCCCCTGGGAAGATCAAGTTTGTGGCTGCCGCTTCAGGTGCTTTGCTCCCTGTGATTGGTGTTGGGAATGCCAAGGTGATGGGAGCCAATGGGGAGCTTGTGGGGCTCGGGAATGTGCTGCTGGTTGAGGGGTTGTCTGCTAACCTCCTTTCAGTGCGTAGGCTGCAGAAAAACAAGGCTGAAGTGACCTTCGGCCCAACCAGCTGCCGTGCAAAGCTTGGGAAGTTGCTGCTATGGAACCTGGACGAGAAGAGCAGCTGCATCAAGGACCTGTGGCAGCTGCCCATCATCCCTTGGAATGGGAAACCTCCATCAACGGAAGAAGCAGCAGCAACGGCTAAAGCAACTGCGGGAGGAGAGGTGACTGCGCCAACTGATGGGGCCCTGGATGCAGTCAAGAAGGTGCAGCAGCCACATCAATCACATGGTGAGATGCTTGCTGGTGTGGATGGGACAGCTGCATGGGCAAAGGCTTCATCTGGGAGTGGTGAGGCGGACTGGGAGACGTGGCACGAGAGGTTGTGTCACATCAACATTCCAATGCTGCAGAAGTTGGTGAAGGATGGGAGCTTGAAGGGGCTGGAGGTGAAGGGGGCAGCGAAGGAGATTGGGAGCTGCCCTACATGCCTTGAGACCAAGTTTACAAAGTTTCCCTTCAGCAGCAGCACAGGACCAGCCAAGGCCCTACTTGCGCTTGTGCACATGGATGTGGTGGGCCCCACGAGGGCCACTTCGCTCTCGAGCAGCCGCTATTTCCTGACCATTGTGGATGACCACACGCGTGCGGTGTGGGTGTACCCTCTGAAGACCAAGGCGGAGGTGGCAGCGGCTGTTCTTATGGAGTGGATGCCGAGGGCTCAAAGGGAGAGCGCACACAAGGTGAAAGTGATCCGCACCGACAACGGGGGAGAATTCATCGGCACTGATTTTGAGAAGGAGCTGAAGCGGAAGGGAATCCAGCAATGGGGGACAAGCAATGGGTCCCCTACACCAAGTGGTATGGGAGTGCACCAGGAGTCAACGTGCTGAGAGCCTATGGCTGCATGGTGGTGTTCCATGTGCCTAAGGAGAAGAGGGGAAATCTGGAAGCTTATGGGAGATGGGGTGTGCACTTGGGGATTGCGAAGGATCACAAGGGCTGGCTGCTATGGGACTTGACCAGCCAGAAGCTGAATGTTTCAAGGGATGTGAAGTTCCTTGAGTCACTGAACTCAAGGAGTGGAAGCAGCAGCAACAAAAGCTTCCTACTACACCGCTGATCATTGAGGCTGATGAGGTGCAGCGGCCTTCAGAGGAGGAGATCTCTGGGGTGACTGAGGATGGGGGAGAATCTCAGGTGGAGGAGCAGCAGCAGCAGCAGCAGCAAGATGCTCCACCACGTGCCCAACGTCCGCCTGACCGTCCTAGGAGGGATGTGCGCCCTCCTAAACGGTTGACCTATCCTAGTTTTGGAAAGCCAAAGGTGGTACGGGCTGGGAGTGTGGCTGAGCAGTGTGATGAGGAAGAGATAGTGCACTGCTACTGGGCAGCCGTCCCTGAGCCCAAGACGCTAGCTGAGGCACTGAGCGGGCTCGATGCTGAAAAGTGGAAGCAGAGTGTGAAGGAGGAGTATGACTCTCTGCTGGAGAACGAGACGTGGGAGCTGTGTGAGCTACCTCCTGGGAAGAAGGCAATTTCTTCCAAGCTGATCTTCAGGCATAAGTATGGACCTGATGGGGCGCTGACCCGTTACAAGTCAAGGATTGTGGCTAAGGGGTTTCAGCAGACAAAGGGAAAGGACTTCGACGAGATCTTTGCTCCTGCGGGGAAAGGGACAACAATGAGGGTGTCGTTGGCAACGGCTGCAAACCGCGGATGGAGGATCAAGCAGATGGATATCATGACTGCTTTCCTCAATGGGATCATTCTGGAGGAGCTGTACATGCTACAGCCTGAGGGGTTGGATGATGGGAGCGGCAGGGTGTGCAGGCTGAAGAAGGCTATCTATGACTTGAAGCAGGCTCCTCGCGCATGGTACCACAAGCGAGAGGAGACACTGCTGGCTGGGGGATTCAAGAAGAGCGAGTGTGATCACAGTTTGTTCCTGCTGCAA